TACTATATATACATTTAAATATTATTCTTAATTATTTATATGTTTTATAATAATACTTACAATTTCTTTCATCAAGATTAAGACATTTTGTACATAATGTTAATTCTTTTTCCCAATCAGGTTTTTGTATGTGTTCCATTACCCACCATCTTTGATGCCACACACTGTATGACTTTGGATTATTTTTTAAACAATTCTCACTCAATGTTAATTCTTTTTCAAGCATACTTGTATACTCTTCTTCGTTCCTATATTTTAAATTAATTTGTTCATTTAAATATAACGTGTATGAGTGAAAATATTTTCTCTATTTAATATTAATCTTACCAAATGTTATTTTTATTATTTTGAAATACTTCACGACGTATATTCCATAATGTATAAACATCTGGATTTTGTAAAAGGATTTTTTCCGTTAATAATAACAATTCATCGTCCCATATTTTATTTTCTCTCTAAACAGACAAAAAAAAATGACAATTCCTTTATACCTATCAAAATTAACTATTTTCTAAGTTAATAAATAATTAAAAGGTTACATCATATATTTTACATTATATAGAATAATTTTCAAATAGAATGCAAATGATTTCTAAATATGATCATGAATAATTTCTTTAGACAAAGATCTAAATCATTAAATATGAAAGTTCTCAATTGTTATATAAAAATTGAAAAAAACCTTTCTAAATATCTCTGTCATAGCAGTTCTATAGTGAACTAATTTCTTTGCCCTTTCTTTCTTTTTTATTTCCTCTTGTTCGGCAGTTGTGCGAACTTTAACACGACCGTGCTAAAAAAAAAATAATTTATTAAATTTGATGGATGTTTAACGATTAACATTAACATTAAGTACAAAATATAAAACATAATTGTATCTAATATAAAAATGATTTATTTATAATAATTATAATAATTAACTTAATAAAAAGGAATACATATAAATTTTTTTTTATCTAAACCAATATAAATAAAATCTAAACAAACGTAATATTATATTGAAAACATGTATATGTTAATAAGTATTTAATTTTAATGATACTGATATGCATTTAAATTACATACACTGATATCTTATTTTTTTTGTTTACCACGTATTAACGTAACAAATTTTTTTTTTATATTCACTATTAAATTTATTTTACTTATAAATCTATAAAAAAATGATTTAATAAAATATTAATTTACCATTATGAATTCTTATACAGTTTATAATAACTATATATATATATATATAGATTGTTACACAAAAACTGATATATAAATATCAAAAAAGCAATGTCATAACTTAACAAGTTTGTATTTATGTACAATCCATACACAAATTTATTTTATATGTAGAAGTAACTACTGTACAAGGAGGAACGAATAATGATGATTCACACGTGTAAACGTGAAGAAAGTACCAACATTCTAAAATAAAATACGTATAGAACTATTGAATGGCGCGAAAATCAATAATGCCGCAAGAAATATAGATTTTTTTCCAAGACAATTTTATTCAATTAAAAAATAAACCAATGTATCCTTAAATTCGTATTTCATAATGAAACATTTTAGTCCTTTTTATATGCATAAATAATATATAAAATAAAAAATATAAACATTATATATATATATAATATTTAAACAAGATCCTTTATAAAAAAAAAAAAAAAAAAAAAAAAAAAAAGAAAAGAAAAGAAAAGGAAAACATTTATCTCTTAAATACTTTGAGCTATTACTAAGAAATGTATTATTTATGAAAAGATCAGTTTATTTTTGGAATTAGTTTATAATGGATTGTATATAGAAAAATATGAAATGTCAAAGTCATCTGATTGAACCATTAATATAATTGTAAAATTGTTACAAATATCATGTGTTTATGTATAAAATATGTACTAAATTAATATGTTTCTCTGAATCACAACAAGTTTTCCTGCATTTAATCTATTAGTTAATTGAAATATAACAATATATCAATGTTCACGATTCCATCTCCATACTGTAGCATCATCGCAAACACATAATAGTACATTGCCATCTCGACTCAAGCTAGTTTGTCGTATTGGAGCTGTACAGCGTGGATGTTGTAAGGAATAACAACGTGCTTGACCAGGTTCATCAACTTCTAAATCCCATACATATGTCCTACCTACTTGATTTCCTAATGCTATAGTACGTTGCCAAAAATCCATAGAAAATCTTATAAACCAAATATCACATTCTTTGAATTCAAAACGATGTAAAACAGTAGCACTAGTTTCTCCATTACGTAATTGAGTGTCTTCAAGACGGCCTGGCTTCCAACATACAATACAATTTTCACAAGATTTACTTAAAATAAAATCGCCGTACCACTTAACACAATCCACATAATTACGATGTACATCACGTGTTGTGAAGTCTGGAAAATGTTGAAGTATAGAGTCAAATGGTCTTCCATTTCTACTAGGATTACAATAATATGACTGTTTAATTGCTTCTTGCATATCTGGCTTGTCCAATGACCAAAGTTTTAAAGCATGGTCCATTCCACAAGAAATAATTCGCTGACCTTTCATATCAAAATCAGCACTTAACACTTCATCTCGATGGCCTTCAACACCACCAAAAATTGCTATACATACATCTGTTTTTATATTCCATAATCTCAATGCATGATCCTTAGATGCAGAGAGTAATATATTTGGATCTTTAGGATGAGTTTTTAACTCATTTATTGCATGACCATGACCAATATAATGTTTAATACAAGTCATAGTTACAGAACTAATAACTCTTATTACACCTCGAGATCCTGCCACAGCCAATAATGGTTTACCAGAATCATCATAAGTCCAAGTACATGTATAAAAATTCTCTTCAGAGTCAGGATCGGCATAACACTGACGTAATCTAATATTCCCACCTTCTGGACATTCATAAATACTCACACGGTTGCTTCCTACAGAGGCAAATATTAATGGTTCACCTTCTTTTAAATGATGATTAAATTGTACTCCAAAGAGTGGTTGTCCATGATCTTCTTTGATACTACAACAATATTTGTATAACGGTTTATCAGTGCAAGGTTTATACTTTGCTGTCTTACTTCTCCGTCTGCCTTTCCTTCTATAGCGAGCATTACGTGTAGGTGTATCACTACGATGAGTACCAGCTGTAGAATTACTACCAATACTACATTCAGTTTCATCGCTATCATTTTCACTGTCTTCCAAACTGGACGCATATGCTTGACATTTACTTGAAGTCCTTTTCATTTTAGAAATAATATATTAATGGACTAAATAATATATATATATATGTATATATATATATATATATTATTCACATTAACAAAAATATATTTTTATAATAATATAAATATTATTTAAAAGATTTTTATGATATACATTTATAAACAGTGTTCAATAAAATTATCTATTTGTTCGTTTAACGACTTAACTACATTCAAAGTATTAAATTTATGTTATAACGTAGCGAAAAAAACACGACCAAGCGTTAGAGCGTCAGGCGGGCAATGAACACCCGCCACGAAATCAAACTTGAATGAGTTGAACCCAGGGTGTACAAGCTGAATCGTAAACAAAAACTATAATTCATTCGGTTGGTAAAACATTTTACCAACTTCCGTTCGTGCTGATTGGCTACGGTTATGTTATGTTAGTATATAGGTAAATCCAATAGATGGCACTATCTTGCAAATCAAAATCCAACCAGTAATGACAGATTCAAGAGGGATTTAAATTGCATGTCATTAAAAGAGGTTACAAAATATGTTATGTGAACGAATGTATATATACATATATTATTCAGTCAATACTATAGTAATAATTTTATGGTATATTCGCTATTGTAGGTATTCGACTTTCTAAACCTAATATCGTCGATGCTACATTTAATATTCTATTTCCCAAGTTAATACAATTATTAGAATCCTGAAAAAATAAAGTACTTTGTAATCATATAATATATTTAAGTATTAATATAATCATTTCTTATTGTAACTTACAAAAGCATTGGCAGATAAAAATCGAATGTTATATTTGTTACGTATTTCTTTTAAATTGTGAAATACAAAACCCATAACATCTAATATGCCATTACCATGTACCAAACAACAAGCACCAGAGATTATAAAATGTTCATCTATTAAACCTATATTTATCTTGATCTATAAAAAATAATAATAACAATAAGTAAATAATAAAGAAATAGAAATAACAAAAATGAATTATTTACCTGTTCCAACGATATGGACATTCGTGAATCAAATGCGAAGATGATGAAGTCAATGCACATAGAAATATTATTCTCTAATACTTGAATTATGGATTCACATTTATGTACTTCTATACGCCATTCTCTTTCTTTCGCACACTTATGAAGCCCATCAGATATATGTTCACGTAATTCTGCTGTACCTACTACCTAAACATGTTTCTTTTTCTTATTATTTCTTTAAAATAAATATACAATATTTAAATAAATATTTTACTAATAACTGTACTCAATTTTATATGGATAGTCGACACACCATATATAACCTCTAAAGTTTATATATATATGTATATATATATAATTAAAAATATACAATTTTTTTTATCTTTAATTTTACAATATAATACTAATAAATATAATTATTTATATACTATCTAAAAACATATAAGGAAAGAAAAAAAAAATAGGTAACTAACATAAGGGTTATTGGATTATATCTAAAATATAAGTTAAAAAGTTATTTAAGAGAAATAATAATTTAAAATCTCGTACTAAGAATGATATAAGAATATCGTTCCTTTGAACACCAGAACTCTGAAGAACTCTGTTCATATTTTTACTTTTTAGATACTGGAAAATTCGTAAAATAAATTTTAAATCTTACTCAGACTGCGCAATATCAATTATTGCACCAACTGTAACAATGAAAAAAATAAAACTATTTATCAACTGGTACTAATATAGTTAGGGTTAATTTAAAAGCTTCGTTCTTATTGGTTCTTGCTTGATAAGTCACTAGTTTTAAATAGCGCTGTGAACGACACATTTCACCGGTTTATATTAAAACTATTTATGACTTCTGATAATGATCTATGCTAACAATAAGTATAGATATAATTTTTGAATTATTTTTATGAACAAGATCTCATTTTAAAGATGAAGTTTTAAAATGAGAACATGGTTACGTCGAGTTTTTAGAAAAGCTTTTTTTTTTTTTTTTTTTTTTTTTTTTTTTTTTTTTTTTTTTTTTTTGAAAAAAATCGCATTTTCAAAAAATATTGTTTCTTCGAGAATAGTTTATGAATAAAAATGAATTTCTTAAATATTAAATAATTTTATTTGACTCGTTCGCACGCGATTGTTGGATAAAAATTTTCAAATTTAAATCAAATTAATAAAATGTTATAAAAAAAAAAAACAGATACGTCAACACTTATCAAGTTAGTTCGTATTTCAACAAGAAAACATGCCAGCTCATCTTTTTCATGTAAGTAAGCTTGAATAAATTAATTTTATTCTCATTGTCGTTAGTGATCGTAAAAAAATAATTGAAAAGAAAGAATTCGAGTAATTTTGATAGATGACGATTAATCCAATCTATCGTTGAATCTTAAACAGTAAACATCGTGTTTCTTTTATTCCGTTCGTAGATTAGAACAAACAATTTTTTACATTATTTAACATACATTTAAGATATCCATGACAATATAGCGAATTATATCAGTTATTAATATTTATATAATAATAAATTATAATATATAATAATCAACTCTGTATATTCTTTTAAACTTTACATAACTTGTAACACAAAATAATTCTAATTTAACATAAAATTATTCGTATTCTTTAACGAATACATTTTTCTATTTTTGCATTCCTATGAGTAAACATAAAAATTCTTTAATTTCAATAAATTCAATAATTTTTTCTCTTATAATTTTATTAACGATATTAATAATTTTATTTTTATTTTATCGTTTCAAAATGTCATTGCAAATGTGCGCGATGGAATGGGAGGAGTTCGTGTGTTTATATCAAAAAAATGTGTTCGTGTTGTTAAATAAAAAGACAAAAATTGCGAAGTACAAGGAGCGTTTTGATCGCGAAGTAAATGAAAATTTTGATCGCTATAAAAAATTCATCCATAACTTTTTCTTCATCATTTTGTGACAAGAGATATACACATCGTACAAAACATCATTGAAGACTTAAACTAAGTATATTTTTATTTCAAACATTTCTTCAATAATTTCGTTTATATATATATTTTTTCTTTTTTTTTTTCCAAAACTGCAATTTTTTTTCGCTGTAATGGTGCGCAAAGCAATGATGAAATCGAGTATGAATTAGTATCGCAAAAAAAATAAATAAAAAAAAAAAAAAATAATAAAAAAAAACATAAAAAAAAAATTAAAAAATGACGAAATAGAAGCAGTGCTTCGCGATTGAAAGAACAAGTGTATATTTGAATCGAGTACGTGCAATATTGTCGTTAGAGTCAATGTTTGTTCGCAAAGTTTTTTCTTGCTTTTTTTTTTAACAATCACGCAGATTATATTTATAAAAGACAATAAAGTTTCGCGAAGTAAATTCATCGATCGTTCGTTAATAAATAATTAAAGTCAATGCATCATTGAAGAGAAGAATCTCGATCAATTTTGATCTATCTCTGATTTTCAATCATCTACGAATCCCTTTTACCTCCAATTTACCCTCAATTTCGACCTAAATCGTGAACGTGCGTTTTGGAGCCATCGCAGAATATCTTAAGTAGTAAGTGAATTTTTAAGTTCCTTCAATTATTCAATTATGTTGAGGACATGAAGATCACTGAATCGGCACGAGCGATTGACTGTAATTAATTAGTAAAAAAGTATTTGAGTGAATTTTCTTCGGAAATTTATTGGTGGATTGGTTCTTTATATTTTGATTAATAAAATCAGGATAAAATCTTGTTATTTCATCGTATGCGTTAATTATTATTTGTATTTTGATATACATCGGTATTCATGAATATTTCTGAATTTTAATAAAAAATGAACAAGAAGATGAATAATCTTTGAATTATAAACAAAACTTCATGATTTTCTTATAATAATCCAAATGATCGTTTGTAAAAAGAAATGTCCAAGAGTTTTTTTATTATATTTTTATATAGAAATTAATTAAACATTTAATCAATTTGAATTGATAAAAGAAAAGTCTCAATAAGAATAGTTCATTATTATTCTTATTTATTTTTGTTTATTTATATTTATATTTTTTAAATTAAATAATATATTTTCTATTGTACTATTGTATTCTTTGCCATCATATTCATATACTTAAGAATACAAAATATGTTTCAGCGATTTTTCTTCTACTAATGTTTTTATTATCTTTTTTTATATTATATTCTATATCTTTTTGCAATTGCAAATAATATCGTGCTAATACACTTTTTAGCTATTTATATAAATTTAAATAAAAATTATAATAGAAATTAAAGATATAATGATTGTAACAATTAAGTAAAAAAATTTTTTGTAATTAATCTATCTTCAGAGAAGTATTTTTTCTTGCTTTCGTAAGCTATATTATTATTATCTTTATTATATACTAAATTTTCTGATATATATTAATTCGATTGTTAAATTAATTAATTTAATTACGCACGAGCGGGATATAACCTAACAAACTTATTCAGCGTTACTATGTGCATACTTCTTAAACGTGTAGTTCATATTTTATCCGTGCTTGTCGCTGAAGTCGTATACGTTACATATGAAAGGTGGTAAACACCACAAATATGTAACATAATAAACATCACAAAGCTAATAATTTATATTTTGAATATTCATCAAAATAACAATACGTTTATATATATGTATATATCTATATATATATATATTTTTTTTTTACGAGATATTGTGCTGATATTACCTTCACTTTTCAGTTATTAAATATTCGATATTTTTTAAGTGCTACACGATAGAAATCATGAATAATCCCGATATAAGTCAATTATCAGGTAATCTAAATGAGACAAATATAAATTGTTTTGAGGAAGCATATAAAAAATGTATTTATTTAATTTTTAGATATATCTACCATATCACGAATTTCGTTAAGTTCGCGATTAATGGGTAAATTAGATTCAATTTTACTTTCTAACGAGCTCGAGGATCATTTCAGTTTCATTGAAAATAGTAAATGTACAACAAGTACAGATCAAGATATTAATGATCTTAAGGATATTACGAAATTATTTATTACATGTCAGAATAGTATCAGTGATTATGCAAAGGCAAAATTGATTTTCGAATGTATAAAAGAATTATGTTCGAATAAAAATTCTACACTTTCTGAAGAAATTATAGAGAAATTAAAAGAATTATTAGAATCATATGAAATAAATAAGATAAAAAATCTTTCAATAACTTTTAAACACACATTACAAGATTTAACTATACTTGGCATACAAGATTTTCCTGATCTTAAACTGAGTTATGAGGAAAAATTAAATATAAAAGCTTCTGTAGAAGCACTAATGCATGAAAAAATACATAATTATATGATAAAGTAAGTAACAATTTATTTATATTCAATTTATATCATTCAGATAAATAATGTAATGTTTATTGTTATAGATATGAGGAATTGGGTGGTAATTTAAAAGAGCTTCAAAGATTAAATGGATTTAATGCTAATAATTATTTACAAGAAAACACAGATTTTGAAATATTGAAGTGGATAGATAAGTTTGAGGACATTTGTGGAGAATATAAAAATTATGTATCACAATATATGGATATGATGAATGAATGGAGGAAATTAAAAGATACAGATATAAATGAAGTGTATAATAAAAAAGCACAGATCTTGTTATTAAAATCGGAAGTAATTGAAGTACAAACTAATGTAGCTAAAATAAGTTGCTTAACCAAAATGTATACAGAGACACCAAAAACAATCGATTCGTATAGAATATTAAATAAAATTTTAGACGATAAATTGTTAGAAATAAGTAAAGAAATTAAAGGAAAGAAATCTTTGGAAAAGCTTTATCGTGATTTAGAAAATACAGAATATGATAATATTTTAGAGACATACTTACACCTCTGTAGTGCTATTAAAAAGAAAAAACAGATTATGGAAATGCTTTGAAAAAATATATGTATATTTTTTTTTATACTTGTTTATGATAATATTTCTAATATAATGATTATAATTATTTCTAATTATATTTTAATTATATTTATCTATGATTCTAATTATATTTGTTTTAATTATTTGTAATTGGATAACACTTTGAAATTTTACTTAATAGAAATAAATATAATCTATAAACAATATATAGAAAATGAATCGGCAAATGTGAATGTTTATGTTGTATATGAAGATTTATAGAATAAATGATATTTAGAAATATGTCTTTACTTATTACTTAATAAAGTACTTTCTTATTAACATGGTTCTTGTTTTATGCCTGAAATAATGCTAGGTACACAGCTTCTGTCGGGTAACATTCCATTTTCTATTAAAAATGATTCTACGTCAGAAGCATAAAAATCTGATCCCAATTGTTCAGTCAATTGGACAAAATTTCCAATTATTTGTCCCTGTTTATAGACTAATAAAGCAGGGACACCCTTCTGTTTAAAATGTTTACTCAATCCAGCCACAGATCCTAAATATTTTGAATTATTTGATTAGTTATGATTATGATAAAAAAATGTATAATATTTTAATATAAATAAATAAATAAATAAATAAATAAAAAAGTATACCTGAAATTTTGCAGAATTTGACAAAAGGATAATCCTCTGCAAGAGCTGTTAAACATCCATTCATGGTTTTGCATCCAATAACTTTATCTTCATATATATGAATAATAATGGTCACCGATTTATCCTCATTGTCAATAGCTTCTACAAATTGATCTGCTGTTTCTAAATTAATGAGTTGTCCAAAACGTAGTTTTTCTGCTTTTGCAAGCATTTCTTTCATTCTTTGTTTTTGATAAGTTATTAGAAATTCATCTGTTAATAGATCAGCAAGTTCTGGATCTGTTTCTTCCAATTTCTCTTTTTCTTCATCTAAATCAGTGCGACATGAAAGACTTAATTTCTTAATTAATTCTATTCTCTCTTTTGCAACTAGTGCTTGTTTTTCTGTTTCTATTTGTTTGAATCGTTGCCAATCCTTTGAAAATAAATGAGATTATTAAAAAGATCATTTCTATATATATATATATATATATTTTTGTTCTAAATAAAAGACTTACTTTAAGGACACCTTTTGGTCCTGTATTACTGGAGGATCCATCCCATTCTGAATAAGAAGGTGCATTGGAGTAAGAAGATGCATCTGAACGTGTTATATATTTGTCTTCTTCTTTATCAACTTCTTTATCAAAATCTTCACTATCATTTTCATCATCGCTGGAGCTGCTACAATAGTAATGACTTTTCTCTCCTAAAATTTTATCTTCCAACGTAGACATCCTTTGGAATTTTCTTTTCACGTACTTGACGAATGATTGATAAATTTTTTTTTTGCACTTGACTTTACTTAAACTTCTCTATAATTAAAAAAAAAAAAAAAAAAAAAAAAAAGGAAACAAAAATTTTTATTACTTATGACGAACAAAAAAAATATTATTTTCTATATTACTTAAAAACAAATTGATGTGTTTCTTATGTAAATAAATATTAACGATGCAAGACCGAACGTTTACGCACAATTTGATTATTAATTTTTTATCGTAATTATTTTTTATCGATAAAGCCGACAAAATTAATTAACAACAAATCTCATTCTCTTACAAATTGGATTTGAGAGACTTAACAAAACGGTACATATGTGATATACCTTCGATATATATTGATATCAGAGTTGCTCGGTAATGTTAAATGCGTTTTTATCGACAGTACATCGTCCAGTTAAAAGCGGTCGCAACTTTGATATAGATGTCACTTTTACCCACGGACCAGTGCGCGGGAATATTCGAATTATTTTGATTAATCGATTAGATAGAAACATTTGACATCTTGCATACATACACACATACCACATACAAACACGCATACATATACCTATTTATATCTTACTGTTTGGAAGCTTAATGAAAATAGAATTTTTATTATAATATTGTACCGATAATGATGTGCATCATGACAGTTGAATAAAGATATAGAATATTAAATGTATCGCACATATTCTTATGCGAAATATTTCTGACAACTTTTATAAGTGACTCTAACTTGAAATTGTATCAAGAAGCAATACGTTATTGTTGAATATAACTTACAAAGAATTCTCGATTTAAAAAATGATGGGCTATGAATCTTCTGTTAGCAACGGAGCGTATCGAAAGTATAATAAATGAATAAATAAGATACGTAAAGTAAATAATCATCTCGGTTTCTATCTTATTTTTTAGAATATAATGCCAACGTGATGTATTTATAAGAAATGCAAATAAGAATTGAAAGAGGATGGTATATATTGTCGAGAAATTCAAAGGAAAAAAGGAAAAACGGGTATATTATATGTTTTTTAAATTATTCTATCTATTTTGACATTAATATGAGAATCGTTATAATTTAGTATAGAATATGAATATAAAAATATTATGGAATATATATGAAAAGAAAAAAAGATTTTCAAAATATACTTTGAATAAACTTATGCGAATATTTCTTTTTTCTTTTTTTTTGACGATTCACTATGTGTCGCAAGTGATTAACAAAAAGGGAAAAAAAAAACATTCGACCTAAATATAATCATATTTTTGTTTTTGTTATCTCTTTTTACGTTTACATGTAAAAATTAAATGTAATACTTTCTTTTATTTTCTCTTACTTTTGAAAAATCGTAATTGCACATACTGGATAATTTCATTTATTACAATTTAGAAAGAATCATTCGGAATGTTTTTGACGAGCGAGTTTTTGCGCAATATTATTCTATTTTTATGTTCGTTATTTGTGTTAGATAATTTATCCGAGGTCAATGATAAGGAAGAACCCCTGCGGCTTGTTTTAAGTAAAATTTAATGTAGTAGTAATCGATATTGTCATTTATGTATTATTGATCTTGTTTCACAACGATATATATATATATGTATATAAATATATATATATATTTTACTTATGTTTTTCAAAGATTAAAGAAATAATGAATTGTCATCTTATTAAGTATTTTTCCTATATACTTATATACATATATAAATACGTATATTTAAATAATATATAAATTTTATATATAATATATATATAAATATTTATATAATATAATACTATAAATTAAGTACACACATATATATATATATATGTATATATTAAAATAGTTAGTGTATATATGTGTATGTATGTGTGTATATATATATATATACTTAATATAAAATCTTCTATATTTATTCGTGGCTATTCCTTGTTTTTTTTTTTTTTTTTTTTTTTTTTTTTTTTTTTTTTTACGAATTTTATTGTTAATCTTTCGATATTAAATGATTAAACTAAAAATAAAAACGATTTTATATTATCGATAATGGAGATATGTGTAATGAATAAAATGATCATATAACACCTTATAAATAAAAAAAATAGAAAATAGAAAAACAAAATAAAACGTGCTGCATTTTTTTGAAAATAAGGGTAAAAAAAAAGAACAAAAAAAGTGGGAAAGACAGGACAAAAGAAAAGAAATAAAGAAAAATATCATTATGATTGTATATAATTTGCGACGACTAATGGATCGTAGAATAATCGATAAGATTAGAATGTAAATGTACGTAATAGGTATCGCTAATTGTAATCGAGGTACATTTGAGAACCAGTTTGTAATGAAATCGGATCATAACAAATCGTGTCGAACAGAAACTCCAACATATTTTATCATGGTATAATTACAAAAGTAAGTTTTATTTATATTATTATTCACATTCATTAAAAATTGTTTCATATGAATTATGCTATCGATAATATTTAGTGAATAATACAAATAATAGATTGATTTAATAAATAAGAATTGAGATTACTTATCAGTTATCAAAAAAATGATAATTATAGTTCGATTGGATATATTACATTTTTGATATTTGATATTGAAATTTTTAAAATGCGATCTATTTGAAATTAAGTAGAGTTAATTAGTAAAGACAATTGATTAGATTTAAAGAAATGAAGTATGACAAAAAATTAATATTCATATATATATATCAGGCCATATTTATCATCGTAATGATGTTTAAAACTAAATAACGAGTTATTAATTACGTTAACTAATTTACCTTGGACGATGTTATATACTTTTAAATTAGACATATATTTCTACTTATTTATACATATGTTTCGTATTCAATCGAAAGGTCAAATGAGGTGATATAAGAGCTCTTATACAAACACGTTACGAGATCATACTTTTTCTTAATAGTTTTTGTATTAATTTATTTCGTATTAAGAATGATTCTATTAAAATAACAAGTAAAAGAAAAACATTAGAAAGGGCAAAAAAAAAAAAGAAATACAAAATAAAAATTCGTAAAACGTAAGACATCGAATTAAAAGCGTGCGGCATGTCGATGAGAGAGGGTATGGTGGTGATGGATGAGGATAGGAGTAAAGGAAAAAGAGTGAAAATTTAAAAAAAGAAAACAAAAAAGAAAAACAAAACAACATATATGAAAGAACGAGAAGAAAAATTGTGATATGATCTGATATGAAAAGAATTGTTATAATATCCTACAACGCACTAGATTCAGTTTCTAAGTCAAAGTTCGTTGATTATTCGTGGTACGATCTATTCGTCATAGTTGTTGTTGTTGTCATATTTACTTATAAATATTGTTTATATATAAATGTAAATTTCGTTTTCGTAGGGGAAACATTTTAAAGTAAGACGTTAACTTTATGTGACCTTCCTCACTATAATTTCGAAATCATTAGAAGGAGTATCTTCCTCTCTCTCTCCCTCTCTCTCTCTCTCTCTCTTTTTCTTGATCTTAGTATTGTAAGATACGATTATATGAGTTTCTTGATGTTATACGAAATAAGAGAAAGAGAGAGAGAGTGTGTGAGAGTGAGAGTGAGAGTGAGAGTGAGAGTGAAAAGGAGAGAGGGAGAGAGAGAGAAAGAGAGAGAGAGGAAGTGAGAGATGATCAAAATAAATATAAGAGAGTTCACGCTAATGTCGACAATTGGAGCACTTGGTCCGTAATGGGTTATCATGAAATGTTCTTTCCGTTCTCCCTTCTCTATAATTTTTACTGTTAACGCATACTTTCATTGGTGGGAGACCGAAGTGAGTGTATAAGATCATTGGTCGTCTCATTGGAGTTAATAATATTTTTTCTATCTCGCTTTGAGTTCGCTTATAAAAGGAGTCAACATCGAGACGCTCTTTTACTATAATATAAAAGATATATTCTCTTTCTGAAGTAAATTTGATAAATTATACGCGTGTTACTACACACACATATATATATATATATATATATATTAATTTATATGAATATATGTATATAAATATTAATTTAAAATAGAAAGAAAATAAAAATAAATAAATAAATGTATATATATATATATAAATATATAAATGTATGTGTATAGGTATATATAAATATTATGTAAATATAAAAGTGTGCATACATAAATCGGATAAAAAATTTTGTGTATTATAATTAACTTTTCAACGTACCTGGTTCTTTCTTCGTTTATTTTTATTTCTTCTTTTTTTTTTTCTTTTTGTTGTTAACCTTTATTGGTAAAGAAGAGAAAAAGATATGCCGTTTCCGGACAACGACATTCCAATCAACGGGATTAGTAAAAACTACGAAATAATTCAACGATCTAAGGGTGATGAATTTCTTTCCTCATCCACGGTCAAATACAATCGTCAGTCCACGTAAGTTTTATTTCAATTAAGTGGATCTTACAGCGAAGATCTTTTCTTATTTATTTATTTATTTATTTATTTATTTTATTTATATGAATTGAAATACGTAAATTGAAATAGGAGTGTTAATTAAACAATCTTTTTTTTTCTTTTTGCTCTAATTAAGAGGACTGTGTATAGCAAGGATTGATTTATGTGTCTTTCGTGTTTTTTTTTCTTTTATATATATTATATATATATACAAATGTTAAAAAAAGAAATGACGATTTTAATTTATTGAATGATAATTTGGCTGTATTTCATCTTTTTTTTTTTTTTTTTTTTTTTACAAAAAGATATAAATTTTGAAATAATAATGATGATTAATTTATTCGGTGCCAATTAAGAAATCCATTTTTTTGTTTTGTTTTAATTGACATTAAATATTATTAATGTAAATACAATTTATATGATTGGATTTATACTAATTGGGATTTTATAAATAATAACTCAATTATATTGAATATTATTTTATTTAAATATTGTGTGTTATTACAATTGTTGTTTTTAAATGTTTCTTATTTAAATACAATATTTTAATAAACAATGATTAGATATTAAAGATTTTCTATAAATTTTAATAGTCAAGAGTATATTTTTGATCATATCGAATCATTACTCACTATTTTTCTCTGTTTATTTACCACAGATGAAGTAATGCGTGTTATTATTCTCGAATACTTATTTGTCTAAGATTAGAAGTATTGAATTCGTATTAAATGTTTGATAATTTCTTAATCACGTAGTTAAATAAATAATTAAATTAAATCATTTTTATACACGAATATTACCTGACGATTATGAAAATAATCTAAACGATGTATTTTTTGTTTTGAAATGATTAGATTTTTTTTTAGAAAAACAATTAGTATGGTGTATAATAAATTTTTTATCTATATTTTTCACAAATACTCAAATATCACACGACGATTACGAAAGTAATTTAAATGATATATACACATTATTTTGAAATGATCAGAATTTTTTTGTATAGATAATTAGTACGATCTTGAACTATTATTTTGAACTATTATTTCGACTTGAATTATTTTTATAATCATCGTCATATATAATTTAAAAAAGATTATATTTATAAATATGTCTATTGTACGAAAAACATATAATAGTTAATATAACAGTATTAGTTGTAATAATAATATTGGCATAGTAGTAGTTTAGAGATATTAATTACAATAGTTAATTACATAGTATATTGAGAAAATTCAAAAAATTATAAACTTTTTTCCATACAAATATAGGTATTTATTTTTAGCAAATGAGTATATCTGCATATGGAAAAATATGAAAAGAAAAAATTCTAAGATTATTTATAAATGAAAAATTTGATTGTTCGAAAGGATTACATAAATAAAATAATAACAAATTTTATTTATATTATTTTTGAATTTAAGTGTGTGTATGTGTTCTGAGTGTATATATATAATTTTTATTACATTATATATCTATATATGTATATCATAATTTTGAGTTTATGTAGAGGATATTCAAGAGAATGAATAATAACAAGCAAATGAAATAAAAAACAAAGAAAAGAAAAAAAACATAAAGAAAAGAAAAAGAAAATTTAATTAATAAACGTGCAAAATAAAGCTATGACAAAATTTGCAAATGAATACCTTTATTAATACTTTTATTAATTCTTACGAATTTTAATATTAATTTTCTCTTTTACATATATATGCACGCAATCACTCACACACATATACGCGTACACACGCACAACAAATCTCTCTCTCTCTCTCTCTCTCTCTCTTTTTTTCTTTTTTTCTTTTTAAATAGATAATGATATTTAAATGCAAAACTAGCAAAGAGCTCGATAAACTGTATTTCGAAATTGTACTGATTTCGTACTATCGATCGATTTATTATTTTTAATGTCACAAGTCTGTTTATTTAAATACGTACTATGCAATCCCCGGACTCGATAGTGATATCGTTTGACAATTATTTTAACTATTTTCATTTTGAAACAAATATGTTGTTTACAAAAATTTCATGTAGTATATTATCGGAACGAATTATGAAATTTAGTTATATTAATTATTAGTTGAAATTAGAACTGTATATATATATATATATAAATAATTATTTATTCGTGATCAATGTTCGTACTGTCATCGAGAGATAATACGAAAGATTTAAATGAAAATTTAAAAAAAAAAGAAAACGAATTATTTATTACAATTTTTCTGTTTTTCTTTTTTTTTTTGCTTTCTGAAAAATCTCCATTGGTTTATTTCATTTATACAATAATCGTTTGTAATAATTAAAAGAGATCGCGCATTACAATGAGATTTCTTCTGGCGTCTGATTTTTTTCATTTTTTCTATCGATTAATTATAATAAAATATATAAAACTATTTGTTATCGTAACTAAATATTAAATCGAATTTGTCGTTAAAATCCCATCAAAATTTTGCGATAATCACGTGATGATATTTCACAATAAATTGTTCGTTGAAATTTAAATTATTTGGATAATTACTTTTTTAAGCTTTTTTTTTTTTATAATCTTGTTCTTTTTTTTGTTTATCGATTAAATAAAATAAAAAGAAAAAGAAAAAACAGAAAAGAAAAAGCAGAAATTGAAGAAAATCAATTACATAAGATTTTCTAACTATCTCCGAAAACGGTTCTTCTTTTGAGTTTACGCAATGTTTCTTCTTATCGTGTTTACAAGAGTAACTACTTCATTTTCTTCTTGTTCGAATTCATTTATCTCAAGCAGACGTAATGAATTATCTAACGTTGACGTTGGAACCAATGCTTCGTAATAAACTTGAAGTATGTTCAAGAATTACATTATTTCATTCTACAAAAATTACAGATTATTATTAAATATATATATATATATATATATATATATATATATATTTATATATTTTATATATATATTTTAAATACAAAGAAACTCGTTTCCAATTTTTGTTTAAGACACAATCACATTGTTAATAATTAAAAATAATTAAGAAGAAAGTGATGAAATATTTTTCGAAGGAAATATGTTAAATTATTCATTTTTTTGTTATAAACTTTTTATACGAATGCTGATTGAAGAAATTAATATATTGTTGTATATAAAATATATATAGTTATTATAATTATATGTATATATAAGATGGTATACATTATATACATTACTACGTTACATTAGAACGTTAATACGAAATTAATATTTTCTTTAATTTAAATATAAATACATATGTACATGTATACAATTATATATATATATATATATATATATATATATATATATATTTGATTTTGGGGTATATATATATTGGGGTATATATATATCTGATTTTGGAGATTTCAAAGAAATGATACGATTAATTCTAGCCATTGGTCTAATTGGCTAGATATTAGATAATTTCTTTTTGCGTTATAATCAGTAATTAGTCATTTGCAGAATATGAAGATTTTAATTAATTAGAAAAGTTGCTGTTTTATTAATGAATTATCTTATTGATAAACTGTTGTCGTTCAAAGTGACATGAAATTAAAAAAATAACTTTATTTCATTTTATCTGTTTTTTTATTATAATTTTTTTTTCAAATATTAATTAACAGTTTTAATCATTCGTTTTATAAATGTTATTTGTATTGGAAAAAATGTAACTATCTACGTTAATTGAATTATTAAAAAGAAAAATATATATATATATATATATATATATATATATATGTGATTACTATTGTCATCTTTTAAGTAAAATTTACAAATAAATTAAAAAACGTTCGATATTTTGTAAGAAAAAAAGTTAAAAAAACATAATTAACAAATGTAACTTATATAATTATAAATTTAATTATTATTCATTAATATCATTGAGAGATCTTTTACAAACGTATTGAAAGATACACAATCGCATTATAATAATATTATTGAACAGAAAATTATTAAGGTATCATTTCGAAAAATTATAATTACAAATGTAATAGTTTTTATTTACTTTTTCCCCATATGTAATTGTCATTATATAAATTAATTAAATAATTGTTTATTATTATTATTACTATTATTATTATTTTTTTATTTTTTTTTTTTTATTTTCTTTCCATTTCAGATACACGTTCGAAACTTTGCAGGAATCTGCACAGTTTTTACTCAATCGTGTTAAAACACGTCCAAAAATAGGAATAATATGTGGTTCTGGTATGGGTTAGTATTCTCGCCATTTTTTTTTGTCACCATTATCAAAGCAATTCATTTTGATTATTATCACTATTATTATTTAATATTCGACAGCATATTGAAAACTAATCGCTTAGTTTGCGACTTGTTTGTTTCGTCGATATCAGCAAATGCAAATTGTGATGAATTTATTGGGTTTTCAGGATATTACTTTGCTTCGCTTAGTTTGCTTTCTTTTTTTTTTTTTTTTTTTTGTCAAAAGCTTTATGTCTCTATTTTCGAACAGGATCATGTGAGCAAAACGAGTTATGTCCAGGTTCGATCGCTGATTCCATAGTCGACAAATACTGCTTTCCCTACGAAGAAATACCACATTTCCCTGTATCAACAGTAGAAGGACACACGGGACAGATGGTATTTGGTTATATCGAGGGTGTTCCGGTTATGTGTATGCAAGGAAGATTTCATTATTACGAGGGTTATCCACTTTGGAAGGTAAATCAAAGAGATATTAAAAAAACTTAATTAATATATATATATATATATATATATATATATATATATATTAATTAAGATTTAATTATTTTAATTAATTAATATTAAATATTAATTTTATTAATTTAATTTATTAATTTATTAATTTATTAATTTATTAATTTATTAATTTAATTTAATAATATTATTTAATTAATTAATATTAAAGATTTATTATTTATAAAAAATAAAAAATATATCAAAATAAAAATAAAAATATTTATATTTAAATGAACAACATTATATAGGATGAGTAGTTTTGTGATGATATTAAAAATCAATTAAACTTTCTCGAGACTTCTCAAATTAATTTCTTTTTTTCTTTTTTTTTTTTTTTATATTGTCAGTTCGTTAAAAAGTTATATTAAGCTTGCAGTTTTACAATTTGAAATAATATAATATATGATGATATATGTACATTATTTATTAAACTAAGTAATATAATATTTTTATAGTAATTTATAAAGAATAAAAAATATAAGAATTATTTATTAAATGATTGAGAGGATTGTCAAATGATTCGATAAAGAGAAAAAAACGTAATCATAATGAAAATGTTTAATTAATATCGAGGAAAATTTAAATGATAATAAACATTTAATTAACGACGAGATAGTGAAATAAAAATATATTCTAAATTTAATTCTCTTTTGGATTAGTGTTCAATGCCTGTCAGAGTGATGAAGCTAATAGGAGTTACTCACCTTATTGCTACAAATGCTGCTGGAGGACTAAATCCAACTTATCAGGTCGGTGACATTATGATAATGAAGGATCATGTGAATCTGATGGGTTTCGCTGGTAACAATCCTCTTCAAGGACCCAATGACGATCGGTATATTACTTTTTTTTATTCGCTTAGACATTTTTCATGATTCTTTATGATCTACGTTTATTTTTTTTTTTTTTTTTCAAATGGAAAATGTTCATATAGAATAACAAAATCGTTTTCAATTATAAAGAGTGAGTTATATCATTTGTAAAAATTGAATTAAAAAAATTATGACCCTGATAACAATCACATTGTCGATTAGACTCTTTTAAAACGGGGAATAGATTTTGAATTGCATTAACGAAGGAAATTTTTTAACAATTAATTTCTTATGTAAAATGATTGATCAGTATATATGTATATTTTCTTGTGTTTTTTTTTTTTTTTTTTTTATAGATTATAAATGTAATATTTAATAAAACGTTATTAACGATCGAAGAAGATTTTGATTAAAAATATTATAGAACGATAATGAATTAAATAGAAAAATATTTAATTAAAATGGTTTAGATCATGTCGAATCTTTTACCATTGTATTATTACGAGATTAGGTTTAAAAAATTGTTGTTTAAATATTAGATAAAAAATATTGAAAGCCTTTTTTTTTATCTATTCGATTACAGATTCGGTCCTAGGTTTCCATTAATGAACAAAGCTTACAATACTGAATTAATTAAAATAGGAGAAGAAGTGGCATCAGAGATGGGTATCAATGATATAGTACATAAAGGTGTATATACCTGTTTAGGCGGGCCTAATTTTGAAACGGTTGCCGAACTGAAGATGCTTCAAATATTTGGCGTCGACGCCGTTGGTTAGTTTCTTTTTTATCTTATCGAAACAATCTTAAGACGAAACTCTTATTGATACATATTTAATTTTATTTTATTTTATTTATTTATTTATTCATTTTATTATTATTATTATTATTATTATTTTTCTTAATACAGGATGAATTAAAATTTGTAGATGATTTTCAAAAAATCGATCATTCATTATCGAAATTTTTTAGACTAATTTTTTGTTTTTCTTCGGATTATTTACAAGCCTAATTTGAAAAAAGAAAACAAAAAAAAGAAAACGAGTCTAAAAAGTTTCGAAAAAGAATCATTGATTTTTATAATCATTTAAGAACTTTTGATCCATCTTGTATCAAACGTCGATCTTATTATGACTCAGGATAACATGCAATATTGTATATCGACAAACAAAAGATTTTTAATTGTTTATTAATGTTAAAATGTTCAAATATTATTTGAAAAATATTAAATAAATATAATAATATGAATAAAATAAATATAATAATATAAATATTTAATATTAAATAAATATAATAAAATTTTGTTTAATATTAATATTTATTTAATATTAAATAAATATAATAAAAATAATTTAAACAATATTTAAAATAATTTTATTTTTTTCTTTATTTTTTTTTTCTCTTTTTGTATTCAGGTATGTCTACGGTACATGAGGTGATAATAGCTAGGCATTGCGATTTGACAGTCTTTGCCTTTAGCCTAATCACAAATCTATGTTCGACCGATTATGATGATCACAATGAGATCAATCATGGGCAAGTGATAGACGTTGGAAAGACGAGGCAACCGATACTTCACGAATTCATTTCAAAGATTGTTATGCGTATAAAGGACATGATAGATATTGATAAGAAATGATTTTTCATATTTTCATTATCGAGTTAGAATGAATCGTAAGATCCTCGTTTCTGTTATATAGCAAGAGAATTGTTTGACATTGACAAAAAATTTACAAATAAAATCTCGTTAATGTAAAATAATAAAGGAGAAAGTGATCAAGGATCATCTTTTAATGATGATATTATTTTAAAATATGTAATTAATTGTTTACACTGGGCCTTTTATCGATTACAACAATATTTTAGATACAACGTAGTTCAATCCTTGGTTAAGAATATATCGAAATATACGAGATATTCAAAATAATTTTGATAACTTTTATATATTTGCAACTTTCCAATGTAATTTATTTTATTTTTGCAGTTAATTATTGCTTGTACATATTTGCAAATAACGATTGGCATTCTAACGTTGTAGAATTTTGTATATACATACGTATGTATGTCCGTATATTAACAGATCAATTCTAAATCGACGATAGAAAAAATATTGAATATTTCTTTTTAATCATAATCGGAAGAACAGTAAATAAGAGATATTCCATTAATATGTTCACTTTGATGTTATATTATTTTTGTTATTATTGATAATGATTGATATGATTTTTATTATTATCAGTATATATTAAGGAACGTAAATCATAAGGTAAAGGGATTATTTTTGATTTGTTTATGCTCGAATAGAGTGATCCATATTACATTTATTCAATTTTGTTAATGCTAGAATACATTACAATTATGACAATTATTTTATAATAATTGTCATGAAAATCAACAGAACAAACAACAATAGGCGATCTATGCACAGTCGTTATTATACTGTGGCTTGGATAAATCTTAAAGGCCTTTTATGAGAATAAAATATAGAAAATCAAAATAATAGAAGAAAAGAAAAATAAAAAATAAATAAGTCGTTTGTTTTCTGTTTTCGGTTATTATTTCTTTTGATTTAATATTTATGAAGAATGAATGTTTAGTTGCAAAGCACAGAAATATAGTAATACATGTAATACAAAAGGAAATAGGATATATATATATAATGATCCTTCATTTTTTGTCATTATATAATTTATGGATATCCATTTCGACAAAGTCTGTAATTTTAGTTGAAACATTAAAAAAAAAAGAAAAAAGAAAAATAAAAAAAAAAATAAAAGAAAAAGTAGAAAAAACCAATTTGTTTCAAACAGATCTTCATATTTGTTTATATAGTAATTATAAGTTTTAATGTGTTAAATATCGTAATATTTTTAATTTGTGCTATAAACCGTAAGTGATGACAGGAATTTAAAGGATCGATTTGTAAAACATAATTTATATATTATGAACTATTGAAGAATTATATAATAAATTAATTTGACTGTTAATTAATTTCAAACTGTATATTATATTTAGTAGTACAAAATTAAAATAATATTCAATATAATGTCATATGTCTTGAAAAATCAAGAGCCTCAGAGATTTAAATATTAAATATATAATAATATTACATAAGCATTTAATACACGTTCTTTTATCGTTTATATAAAAAATTTTACGAAACTTTAGATAATTATAAAAAAATTTTTATTTTATATAAAAAATATATTTGAAAATTCTTTATAATTATTTCTAAATTATATATCAGATTAATCTAAATCTCCGTATTTGTACAATTTTTTCTAAATTCATTTGATCATTGTTACTATCATCTTTTGAAAATTTCAATCGAATTATAAATATTTCTCTATTATGTATTCTATTATTATTCGACTTAAATTGTTTATAAATTAATTATAAATTATTTTAATTAATACCGATTGTATGTTAAAATAATTTCTTAATTATTCTGTTATTATTATTATTATTATTATTATTATTATTATTTTTATTGTTGTTGTTCTTATTGCGTACGGTACTTACTTGTAAATTAAATATCATCTTTTACAATTCTGAATGAAGCGAAAAAAATCTTTCACCACCATTTTATTATGTAAATATTATTATTACTAATATTAATTAATCAAACAATAAGAAGAAGTTGCATTCACGATTAAATGCGATTTACTTAATTAAGTATGCAAAGAGAAGATCGTTACCATTTATTTTTTCGGTGTTTGTAACGAGGAAACAAAAAAAAAAAAAAAAGAAAAAAAAGAGAAAAGAAGAAAAAAATAAAAGAATAACAAAAAAAGGGAAGCGAAATGTTATTTGACACGAAAGCTTCTATTTCCTTCTTCTAATTAGTAATTTAGGATCGATCTTCTTTAATTAGTTTCATTAAGAATTAACATATCCTCCAAAAGTTATCCAAATTGTAATCCTTTTATTCTAATAAGAAAGATATCTCTATCGCTGGTAACTTCTAGCAGGATCTAAACAGAAAAAATTAACGTAACATTAAAACTTAGATATTGTTATTTTTTTTTTATTTATTTTTATTTAATTTTTTTTTTTCATTTTTCATCGATACATAAAAGACTTAATTAGTTTCAAATGAAATAAAAAATATATGTATAATACGATTATAGGAATGATTATTGGTACATTATGTATGTAGAAAAAAAATTGAACCATACCATATCACTATTTTCGTTCGACATTAACACACTTTTTTTTCTATTAATTTTTCTAATAATACAATTGGCTATAGAGCTGTCACAATCACTCGTTGACGAATACATTCACGGCTTATCGTCAGAGAACTTGTTATAAAAATAATATCAAACATATCACAGATTGATATTATTGATTGATATTATAAAAAAAATAAGTCTCTCTTTTATAATTGTTATAGCAAATCTATTTTCTCGTTCTTCTTAAGGTAGTACTATTCTAGACCGTGGTCGAAGTGCAATTGACAACGATTGCAGTCAACGGAACCTTCTGCGCATGTCCATGAAAAGAAAAAATAAAAAGCAAATATTTTTCTCTCCCTTCCAATTTCCCATAATTGTCGGAAACAGCCACATGTTCCTCTACTTAAGTGCAACATATTTTTAATAGGAATATATTATATGGGCATATAAACGTATAAAAAGTCATCCTTTATGAAAGGAAGATTTACCTTTGTATAGAGTAAATTATAAATTTATTATTTTTTTTTTTACATGAGGTATGCTATTCATTCTAATAGATGGTAATTAGAATTAATAATGAAATAATATTGATGAGAAGTAGAAAGGGGAATAAGTATATCGATTACTTACTATACCTTGGAAAACGTAAGTCAGTTCACAATGGCTACGAGACGTGTAAACTTGTTCGAACAGCACTTTCTCTTTTCGAATCGATTAGTTCAATTAATATTGGGCTTACGTCCCGATCAAAATTCGAACGATTTATTATTCATATTTCCTGCAATAAATATTTATACATTACCAGCAATTCTACATCAGGTGATAAGTGCATTTCTTTAAATCTATAGACATCTAATAATTTTATTATAACTTTTATTATATTTACGTTGATTTTTTTTCTTTCTTCTTTTCTTTCTTTTTTCTTTTTTCTCTCCTTTAAATAAATCCTCTTGAGTATAGAAATTGTTTTGGTAGGTATGCAACATAATAAAAACTTATGATTATTTAAGAATAATTAATGCATTATATTATATTGGATTTTTTTAAAAGCATTCGTTTTATCAGTTTTATCAGCTATTCACGTCGGACTTCAAGCTGCGATCGAAATTAAAATTACTCCAGAAATTAATAGCATCTTTAACTTTACTCTGTATTTATAGCTCAACGTATTTTCGTTTTGTAAGAGTTTGTATCATTCTTTTTCTTTTCTTTCTTTCTTTCTTTTTTTTTCTTTTTTTTTTTTTATATACAAATAGAAGATAAATTTAGTTATCCTGAGTGAATGGATTGTTTTTAGATGAAGTTACTTTTCGCAAATTTCAAATATTATTACGAACAATTTTCCGATAAGAATGAAATGGACATTATGAAAAAATATACCAATCAAACTAAATCGTACGTTTATGCTATCCTAGGTAAGCATAAGAACAAATTAATGTAAATAATTATAAATACGATATTGGAATGATATATGTATTGGTATTGTTGCAGTTTTATTTTACATCTATGTTATTTTAATATTATCACCGTGTATTATAAAAGTCTTTTTATATCTCTTTGGTGCATTGAACGATGATCAATTAATCTTTCCCGTTCCTGTTAATAATGTCACAAAAGGAGGATTATTATATTATTGTTTAATCATTTATCAAATTTCGGTTATAATTCTCATAGCGACAGTAGGCTTTGTGAATTTATCAGCTTATTTGATAGTTGTACAACACGCGTGTTATCAACTTGACATTATAATGTACGTGTTTAATCATAAAAAAATATTTGTTTCTAAATCAATTTTTATTATTTATCTAAATGTGATATATAAAAATTTCTTTTATTAAAGATTCAAAATATGGGAACCGTTTAAGAAACATTCGAAATATACGCGAAAAGTTTGCTTCATTAAAACGCCTAGTCTGCAATGGGAATGGATAGTCAAGATTATAAGACTATATAAAGATGTCACGGAGTTAGTTCGAAATAATTTCTTTTTCATCATTATTTAATATACATATTCATAATATAGATTCATTGTTAATATATATAAGTATAAGTATAAAATATATAAGTATATAAGTATAATATATATATATATTAATTTATAATATATTATATATTATATATATGTATTAATATATATGTATTAATATATGTATATATTAAAATATATAAGTATAATTCATTGTTTATATTTTTTTTTCAAGGTATGTTGACTTACTAAACAATTTTTCAAAGATGAATTACTTAATTACAATTTTCTTAGTGATGATCCTCATTGTTTTTGATTACGTTTATGTAAGTGTATATTTTCAATATAAATCGGAAATTACAATTAATTACATTGACGTGTTTAGTTTTCTATGCGGATGTTAATATTCTCGAGATCATTGAAGAATGTTTATTTATTAAATGGTTTATTTTTAGATATTTCAATTATCTAAACTATCACAAAATGTAATTGAAATAATCGAATGCAGCATCTATAGTATTGGTTCTGTTTTTATACTATATCTTAATTTTTACCTTGGCCAAAAGCTATTGAACCATAGCACTGCAGTTTTCAAGGAATTGTAAGATATTTCAAAGTTTCGTTACAACAGTAATTGTAAATACTATTTTTGACATATTTGTAAAGTAAAAAGTCTTATGAGTGAAATAATTCATATCAATAAGTTCTATTCAAAATGTAATTTAATGGGTGACCAATTATTAATTTATATACATTATAATATATTTTTTTTTGTAGGAATAAAATTCCATTCTACACTTTTTCCATAAATTATCAAAAATTGCTATTATTTATAATGGTGAGAAGCGGACGACCATGCGTGCTTTCAATCGGTGGTATATTTGTGTCATCACATGTAACATTTGCTGCGGTAAGTAATAATAAATAATTGATATTCAATTGATTGTATTAACGAGAAATATATTATTTTAGATAATGCGAAAAGCATTCTCTTTTGCAACGGTATGTTATACTGTTCAATAATTTTATATTATGTTCTAAACGATGAAATAGTATTAATTATCAATACATATGTATGTCAAAAATTTAATATATTTCATAGAAAATCGAATCTACTCACTTTTATAGAAAATAATATGTTTGTAACGATGGAAAAGCACATATGACATTATTGTTAGATATTAATTATTTATTTCATATAAGATCTTATAATTATAATATTCGTCTTAATTTTTTTTTCTTTTTTTTTTTTTTAAATAATCGCTTTCTACGTGCACTGCGTAATTGTCACCGATCTTCTTTGTATAAGTATACTATGTTTGACGGACTGTATTATCGACAAAACAAAATACATTTCAATAATTTTTTATGACGATCTGTTTATTCATTTCTAAGCTAATATTCCAGATCGTGATCGGAGAATGATTGACAATAATTGCAGTCAACGTAATCTTCTACGTATGTTCATCCAAAATTGAAAATATAAGGAAGATTTCCTTCTTATTTAATTGTTTGAAATAATCACCTGTTTCTGTTCATAGAGGAAAATAAGTCATATCGTTGAAGTGTTGGACAATACTTATGTATAAAATGACATACTTTTATATCGCAATAGATAAAGGCTGTTCATTATCCCTGGTTTTTTTTAAATGGTTTACGCCATCGAGAAGAACAGACGTAATTCTTGAACGATTTTAATGAACAGGATCTTATTTTAAAGATGAAGATTCAATCTATAGTGTTTTGAAAAAGGTTTATTTTCTTTTAAAAAAAATCGTTTTAAAAAATGATATTCTTTATAAGAATACTTCATGCACAAATAAAAAGGAGTTTTATATTTTATGTACGTGAAGAAGCGATTGCCTATTTCGTTGTATGTGTAAATAGCTGATACTCAGATTTTTTGAACATTTTCAAACACAAAGAAATGCATTTTACGATGCTTGCACGGAGAAACTACGATAACTCCACTCGATTATTTTAATGAGCTTTGGCCAAATGATTCTATGGGAAAAATAAGGAAATACGTGTCCGATAGATTATTTTAAGGGATTTAAGTTTCTAAAATATTATTAAATTTTGAAAAAATTTATATTTACTTTCAGATTTTCGAGGCTAAATAATTCCGGTGTTTTTTTTTTTTTTTTTTTTTTTATCAATAACACCTTAAAATATTTCAAGTATTTTTCTTATAAATATTTTGAAACGTCGATCGATATTCATTTAAAATTATCTAATTAATTCTAATAACAATAGAAATTGTTATTACAAATTATCATATGTATTGGGTATTAATAAAAAACGTATGCAATTAATTTAACACAATATAACTATGTATTATATATCGAAATATATGTTTGTTATTTCGAAAATTGAACTATCTTATGAGAAACAAAAAAAAATATGACATCTATTGTTCCATGTCGTGGAGTTCATTTTTTTTTTAGGACAAATACAACGTACTTCATATGTATCAAATATAATGATAGTCATAAATACATGTATGGTGTAATGTATATCAAATTTTTATTTCTTTTTTATATTTTTCTTTTTCTTTTTTTTTTTTGCAATTATTTCGATATTTCATTTACCTGTTGATTTTATCTTCATCTTTATGGGGAAAAAAAAAGGATACGTTCAAAACCTTAAAACTTATCATATATCGATAAAGACAATATGAAATTTATTATACCATATGAAAGAATTTATTTATTTATTTATTTATTTATTTTTTTTTTCTTTCAAAAAAAAAAAAAAAAATAAAGCATACTCATTTGTATCAAATACGATGTTAAACGTAAATATTAATAATATATAGCGTATCAACGTTTCGTTTTGTTTATTTTTCATTTGGCTACGCTTTTTCTAAAAAAAGAAAAAGAGACCTTCATTTCGAATATTTACATAACTTTTATTTTTGGACACGATATACAACGTATAATGAATTATCGCATTGACGAAGATAACTATACTGTTTATTATGACAAAGGATACTTTCTTCTTGAGCAAGTATTCGTTATAGCGATCGGACCTTGACTGACGAAGGGCTGCAATCGATCGACTCTTCTACGCATGTCTTTCAAAACTAAGGATTAAAGAAATTACACCCTTCTTTCAATCGTTGGGAACAATCATCTGTTTTCATACTTATGGAAAATAGATATTATATATCTCAGTATGTTTGTTATTATAATTATAAAAATGGAGTGTAAAATTTCATCGTTAGATATTATAGATTACGATTATTACGATACTTATTTCTATTTTAATATTTTACACAATCGATTGAAATATTTTTTCGATTTATCGATTGAAAGATTTTAAATCGATTGAAATATTGAGGAAAATTAAAATCCAAATGATGAAGAAACGTACACAGTTTGTCATTGACTTCGCTGGATTGAACAAGTGATAATTGACAATGTCTCTGGAGGGATTAGTGTACTTCGAACAGCACTTTCTTTTTTCAAATCGAATATTTCAATTTCTAATACGTATACGTCCTAATCAAAGTTCGAACGAGCAGTTGATTTTCCTTTGTGCGGTATTAGTTTTCGTATTACCAATAATATTGTATCAGGTAAACGTATCTATCTATAAATATGTACGATGATTGTTATTATTATCATAATAATGGATACACTCATTACTGCACTACATTATTGTACAAACATTACTGCATTTCATTTTGATTTTTAAATATAACATTTGTGAGTAGAGAAGTTTTTCGATTGTATTGCATGTCGTGTCGTATCGCTTAAATTTGATTTTTTTTTTTTTTTCTTTTATTCAATTAAAACATTTTAATGCAAATTAATATTCAATTCTTGTAACCTCTGTTATTATCTGTTTAATATTTTTCTAAAGGGAGATTAACTTTTTATAATCTCTTTTTAATCCGTTTACAACCTAGCGCGAAGAAGTGATTTATGTTTCCGATCACTTTCATAAATTTTTTTTTTTTTTTTAAGTCAAGTATATAAATATGAAATAAAATTATAGTAATAATTGTTTTATTAAGAAATTTTGATTATTTTTTGATATAATTGAATTATATCATAAAATATATTATATTTTATGATATATTATATTTTGAACTTATATAATGAACAATATTTTGTTTCTTTAAATTTTCATCATTACATAATACCATGTTAGTTATTTGAATTAACTATGATATTGCAAAGTTTAAGCGAAACAATCAATTGCTGCATTTATATGGTTGGATCTTTATTTGTCATATATATTACTTTTTATATTGGCCAATTGATTATTAATCACAGCAATGACACTTCCGACAAATTGTATGTGATATATATATATATATATATAAAATTGAATGAACACTCAATTTGATAAATATATGAATCATATTAATATATATATATAAAATCTATTATATGAATAAAAAAAAATATTTCTTTCTTGCAGATGTAATATTCCATTTTACAATCTTTCCATTAAAACTCAAAAAATATTATTATTTTTATTAACGTGGTGTATTAAACCGATCGAATTTTCAATCGGTGGTATATTTATCGCGTCACACGTAGTTTTTGCTGCGGTAAGTAACATGAAATTTTGTAAAAAACGTTATTGAAATATCCTTTATATATAATGATAAATCATTTATTATTTTAGGTGGTACAAAAAGCATTTTCTTTTGTCATAGTGTATTATACTGTTTTACAAATCTAAATTACTTATATGAACGTGAAAATATAATATCAATTATACTTTGTCGAAGATGTTTTTTCTTTTAAGAAGAATACAAAATACTCACTAATATCCTATATGGTTGTGGTGGTAAATAATACTACAAAATGTATATTGTATGACTAATTAAAAATTGTTCAATTTTTAATTAGATTCACTAATTATTCAGATCATTTATTCAATGTTATCTCCCTTCCTCTCTCTCTCTCTTTCTTTCTTTCTCTTTATCTCTTTCTCTAAAAAAAGACACTTCACTTGCTAAAGTCGCAAAAGTTTTTTTCTTCATACGAAATATACGAAGTATAACGAGTTACGTTGTTTTTAAAGACGACTATGTATACTCTTTATATTGTTTATTATGACAGACACTGTTTCTTCTTATCAAGTATCCATTACCGTGGTCGGACTTAGACTGACGAAAGGTCTTACTATCGATCGATTTTTCTGCGCATGCCTTTCAAAGTTCAAACTCTGAGGTATAGTACTCTTCATTTAATCGTTATAAACTACCTATTTTCATAATTAAATAATACTATGCTATCTTGAAGTGTTTTTGATATTGTAATTTTAAAAAGGGGGAAGCAACGTTTTTTAACGTTACGTTCAATGAATAATATCATTATGTTATTATTTCCGTGTAATTATTTTAAGAAAAACTTTATATCGATCGCTATAATGGGACAAAATTAGAATGCGTAATGAAGGAGAAATGTTGGACAAATATTGGTCATATCTTTGCCATAAATGTGATACACTTCAGAATGTCCGTAAGGGGATTAACGTACTTCGAACAACATTTTCTTTTTTCAAGTCGAATATTTCAATTTCTAATACGAACACGTCCTAATCAAAATTTTAATGAGCAATTGTTTTTGTTTTATGCTGTAGTTGTTTATATGTTACCAATAATATTGCATCAGGTAAACATATTTGTATTAAATATATACGTAATTGTTTTTCATTATGTGATTATAATATATATCTATATATATATATATTACTGTACTTTATTTTTTTTTTTTTTTTTTTTAATATACACGAATAGAAATTTTATTCTCCGATGTTATTTTATGTCGATTAAAAAATATAGGTTAAATTGTCAATATCGTTCTGCTTTATTATAAAATATTGTGTAAAAAGTACACAATATTTAATATTTTTTTTTTTAAGAACGAATTAACTTTGATATGAATTTTCTTAAAATCTTTCAAAAAATCTTTCAGTTTAAACAAACAATTTCATAAATTCGTTTTTATCGATTAATTATATCATATTTTTCTTTACAAATTTAATTTTAAGAGCTTTCAAGAAATAATATTAAAGAAATTATTTTCTTACTACTAATTATTTCATTAATAACATAAATAAACATTAAAGAATATTGAGTACAATTCAATGATGTATCAAGCGGATAAATAATTATTTTCATTATTTTCAGTAAAAAGATAATCATTTATTATTAGCCAGGTCTGTTTATTTAT